AGAGGGTATCAATCGAGCAACGGTCCGACCTCCACCTGAACCACCACCATGGGGTGTACGAGGTGATAGAGTCTGTGAAAGTTTTCCTTGTATTTTGTTTTCTGTTTGTCATTTAATTTGTTTTCTTGTGCTCATCTTTGTTGTTGGTTTTGACAATTTGTTTGAGTTTTTAGCCTCTCTTTATGTCATTGGGTATGGTTGGATCTATGGGAACATGGTTGGCTGTGTCAAGTCCACTACATGCATGGTTAGCGATTCGTGTTGCTCTTTCAGGGGTGACCGTCTCAAAGTCTCACCATAGGGTTACAATCGTAGTTGTTGGAGTTTCAGTTGATGTCAGTTTTATTTTCCCTTTGCTTGATGTAATGATCCTGAATCTTTTGATATGAATAGAAGCCTGTTTTGATGATCAAAAAATGAAAGGGTCTCTGAATTCAAATAGTTTGATCCTTGATGTGTAGTTTTCTCGTGCACACTTTAAAAGATGTAGTAGCAAAGAGTTAAAGTACGAGTATCAAGGACGGAAAAGGGAACTAAGTCTTAAATAAATTCAACGATTAAAATAAATAAATAAATAAATAAATAAATAAATAAATAAATAAATAAATAAATAAATAAATAAATAAATAAATAAATAAATAAATAAATAAATAAATAAATAAATAAATAAATAAATAAATAAATAAATAAATAAATAAATAAATAAATAAATAAATAAATAAATAAATAAATAAATAAATAAATAAATAAATAAATAAATAAATAAATAAATAAATAAATAAATAAATAAATAAATAAATAAATAAATAAATAAATAAATAAATAAATAAATAAATAAATAAATAAATAAATAAATAAATAAATAAATAAATAAATAAATAAATAAATAAATAAATAAATAAATAAATAAATAAATAAATAAATAAATAAATAAATAAATAAATAAATAAATAAATAAATAAATAAATAAATAAATAAATAAATAAATAAATAAATAAATAAATAAATAAATAAATAAATAAATAAATAAATAAATAAATAAATAAATAAATAAATAAATAAATAAATAAATAAATAAATAAATAAATAAATAAATAAATAAATAAATAAATAAATAAATAAATAAATAAATGCGAAAGTACGAGATTGGATTTTTGGAATTAACCAATGAATAAAAAGGCAAAATTAAAGAGCTCTTTCTAATTAATGACAAAAGGGAAGCATTGATTAGTTCTAGGCCGGGGGAACGAGATTTTGGGATTAATTAGGCTTAAACACATGAAAATTATTTAATTAAGCAACACAGGTCAATACTAGATTTTTACCACTCTCGCGGCGTAGAGTACAATAATTTAGAGAGCAAGGTTGATCTCTCATGTGATAAGTTTCTTAACTATTTCCAAAACGAGTGAGTGTACGACTCTCTAATCGTTACTAATTAATATCTTAGCTAGCGATTAGGTTTGTGTGTGAAAGTATCCTAGAATAATTTAGATATCTCTTAAATTATTCTATATTTGTGAAATTATAATCCTAGCGGCGGTTCCAGCCTTAGCTTCCAGGTTATAAAAGATATCAATTAAATTATTCAAACACAAATTAAACATTAATTATGCATTTAAATCGTCAAGAACGGAACCTAGATCATGATTAATATCCCCTTCATCAATCTTAAATCCCTAATTAAATCTACTCACAATCCATAATTGAAATATTAACATAATTGAGAAGGAAAGAATTAATTGTCATTCATTAAAAGGGAGAAAGAACTCACAAACAACCCCAGAATGTGGAAGATCCAATCCTGAAAAACAGAAGAAAATTCGTCCCCACGTAGTTTCTAAACCCAGTCTAACCTAAAGCTGGGGTTTACATGCTGTTTAAATAGAAAATAGTGAAAGTGAGGCAACGCACGGAGTGCGTGGCAAGTGCGCACGACGTCCAGTAGCTTCGCCGAAAATTTCTCTCCGCACACAGTGTGCCCCTTCATACGCACGGCGTGTGTGCCCCTGTCTAAATTTGGCGATGCTTCCTTCAGCAAAGTTCGTTGTTCCTAATGACGTCCTCTATCCACTACAATTTGAAAATCTGGAATTGGATCATTTTATCAAAAGATAGGGATGAAATGGTGGAAGCTCGCATCCTAAAATCTCATTAGCGATTATCTGACATAGCTTCCTCGTTTGTTTTCACATTGATCCTTTGATATTCTCGTCATGGTGTCTTCATGTTGTTTGTATTCCATTAAGTTATCATTTATATTAAACTTGAATCATTTCATTTGGATGTTTCTATGAAAAGATATGCTCAAACGATTGATAGAGCACCACCCTGATTCAAGGTTGCGAGTTGGGCAGTGGTCTAAGTTATCGTTTTTCATGCTCCTTGAGTCCACGTTCATTCCCGTACTTGATCATTGAGCCCCCTTAACTTCAAAACAGCATCATGAATGTATCGTAGACCTTCAATGCTTCTCAGCAACTTTCCAATGTGTCTCGATTCATCCCGAATAACTCTCCAACGCCGATGCCGGACTTAATTTCCTATTTTTTACTCTAAAAACATCAAATTGCAAACCAAAACCTCATAAATCATGACTTGAGTTAATTAGGCACTTTGTGACACATTAAAGATAGGAAAATTGACTAAAACCAATCCAAACACGCAGAAACTACGTGTTATAATATGGATTTCTCAATTCTTCATTTCAATCCTTATGAAAGGGTCTCTAGATTTAAACGCAATGATTTTTTTATACCAACTATGTCGTGCATTTAAATATTGGGGGGCACATATACTCAACTATGTTCGGTTCCTAAATTTTTAAGGACTCGCCCTGTTCCGAACCGTTTGGATTTTCGGAAATTAGGACCCGACCCTAACCTGTCCTGAACCTGTATTGCCTGGCCCGACCTGCGCGCGATTCATGTACCCGTTTGCCCGCCCCTAATAAAAACCTTAATACTCTAGTTTTAGCTATAATAAATATAGCTAATTGTATGGTAGCTATTGTCAAGATTATAATAATAAAATCCAATTCATATATATTTCACATGGTATAAAAATCATATACTTGTATATGGCATACCGTATGTTGTAATTTGGACGATTGTTTCAGACTACCTGCAACCCAGGAGTCAGTAATCCAATTTTAGGGGTGTTTGGATTTGATTCTCAAAACTGATTCTGCTCCTTCAGGGAGCAGAATCAGAAGCTGGAGTGTTTGGGTGAAATTCCAGAAGCACTTCTGGAGCTCTAATTTACTCTCAGAATCAGTTTTTTTAGAAGCTGGGGGTACCAGCTTCTGAAAACTGATTCTGATTCTGCTTCTGCTTTTAAAAAAGAAGCAGAAGCAGAATCAGTTCCAAACACCCCTTTAAACTTTTCATCCTAAAATTCTCTACAACCCATGTATTTTGGGGTGTCAAAGTGGATGTATGGCACCCATGGGGAGGGATTCCTGTAGGCTTATCCACCGAGTACGAATGGAAGAGAACAAACAAAGGCTTCTAGTTGATTGCATGAAAAAAAGCAGTGGGCCTAAAAGTTTAAATCTCACTTTTTTAAAAGTGTAATAACTCTTTTATTTATATTTTAATTTTTATAAAAAATATACCAAAATTCATAATTTTTATTATCTTTCAAATGACACCAATATTGTATATATAAGTATTTTTTTGCATTTTCACCTATATTTTCTAAAATAAGCCCGAAATAACATTAAAAAAATCAAATACCAAATTTATGTATTTTTACATCGGAATGTTTGACTTTTCAATCCATGATTATTCATAAAAAAGTTAAATTGAAAAATATTAATGTATAATAATAAAAGTAATATTTTAATTTTAAAAACTTTGCGGGGTGAATATATTGACGAAACTGGATTGCAGTGAAAACCGGATTGATTGAGTGAATACGTATAAAAAGATGGGGAATTTGATTTATTGACGGGGCTGGATTGCGGTTAGCCTCAGACGAACATTTTCAGCATGAATAGTAACTGCAATTGGCATTGAAGCGCTTCCTGTAGTGATATATGAAATCTACACCTACCGCCTTACTCAGTAGAGACCATTGTGACCAACAACCGAAAGTATAAAACGAGGTAAATTTAATAGGAGAAAAAAGAATGAATCTACAAGAACCTTAGGTAAAATGAGAAAAATTTCATATAATCCATTACTACGTATTATTCATGTGCCACTATGATTATCTGTCACAGAAAGGGTGAGATTTTACCTTTCCAAACATATTTCCATTCCTGCATACACGTTACACATGCATTTAAATGATTTAATCTACTATTTTGATTTTGTGCATTCTGGTAGGAGTCTAGGACAAGCTAGATAGTAAATGTTACTCATCGCTCGTACAGTAGTAATACATACTTCCTCCGTTCCTATTAAATCGCAACAGTCCACTTTTCATGTTTGTCAACGCACAAGTTTGACCGTTAATACCTTTCATTACTCATTGTTATAAAATTTAAAAAAAAACAGATTTTGAAAATGTTGAATGAGAAGAATTTAACAATATTTTTTTAAAATTTAATTTATAATATATTAGGAGTATTAAATAAAACATAGTTAAAGTAAAATATGTGAATAGTTCAAAAAGTCTAATGTTGCAATTAAAAGAGTATGGAGGTAGTATAATATTAAGGCCAACATGGAGATTAGTTCAGTTCTTCCATCAGTTCATTTTTAGCATTGCTCTTATGAGAACTCTTCTTGTCAGGCCGGCCTGACGAGAACCTCCGTCTGGCCGAGCCCGTTTGGGCACCTTCCCGGTAGAATTTTTTGATGAATTGTTTTTAGCATATGTTTCATCAAGTCTAGTTTATTCATACCAAATATCAGCTAAAAATTCAATCGGGGAGGCATTCAAATCATTTTTTGAAGTTGACTGCGTCAACAATATATACATATAAAAACGTAGTCAACTTCAAAAAAAGATTTGAATGCCTTCCCGATCGAATTTTGAGCTGAAATGTGGTATGGAGTAATGACAAACTAGACTTAATGAGGAACATGCTCAAAAAATTTCATCAAAAAATTCCACCGGGAAGGTCGCCAAAAGGGCTCGGCCGGACGGCTCTCCCGGTCAGGCCGGCCTGACATGATGATTTCTCTTGCTCTAATAAGTAATAATAGCCAAGAATTCGCCTACTAAGCGTCTCAAACGCTGCATCGCTAAAAGAATTCGTCTAAAGCTCCCCTGAGACGGTTGATCATCAACAGCAGCCGTACTAGTTTCTGTAGGTAAACGCAAATCACATCTACAAACAGGACAAGAGTAGTTCTTTATCATCCATGGAGCAAGACATTCTTTGTGATATATGTGTTTGCAAGGTAGCTCACTTCCTTCATCTCCAACCTCAAACTCTTCCAAACATATTCTGCATTCCCCACACCTTGTCAAATCATGTATTCTCACCCTTGGTATTAAACCCATAATTATCTCCTTTTTATATGTCTCATCATCACTCTCATATGTTACAATATGGTTCAGGTCACGTCTGCCGACCGCATCGATAACTTCAAACGCCGACGGTTTCGAAAGAAGAGTAACAAGGCGCTCAAATATTTCTCTATTTGCATCCCGATAAATGATGACAGTTTTTTGAAATTGAATCGGTGTCCTCGACTCATCGCCCTCGCAGCTACACAAAGAAAAATAGGGGGCTGGGATCGGAAAATGAGGTCGTTCACATCGATAGCACCAATGACAATCATTAAAGCTGTTGTAGCTAAGCGCGTCGGTGAATCTGATTGTTCTATGGGTTGGATTTTGATGACATTGTATGATTTCGGGAAGCGAAGAAGATGAAACGACGACGTTAGAGTCTAACGTGTGTGGTTTATTACATTGGTAACACCAATACCATTCATTGCAATGTGTAATGTTTTCGACCGTGGATTGAAGCTGATGTGATGTACCCCCTACCATAGAGGCTAGGGGTGAAACCCAACTTATACGATCCCGTCTTAGACGGATCACAACTCCCGGTTGTTGGGGTATAAAAGATGATTCTCTTTCTGGATGATGATTCCTCGATCGCCATCGCCAAGCTACCAATCCTGTTTTTTCATGGTTGTCACTATCCCTCAAGTAGAATGTAATGCTTTCGATCTCGTAAATGTACGAATAAGAACATAGACGACATGAGGTGGCTTCATGAGCAGAACGGAACTCCCCATGACACAAGCTGCACAAATATTGATAATCGCTTGTCCCGTCCATTGTTTTTTGAACCCTCACAAGTTTATTTTTTTATTAGAACAAAGAAAGTGTGTATATTGTCATGTAGAAACCAAGGATAAGTTTATTAAAACAGCATCATATCAAGACAAAATAAAAACTTAAGTAGAGCATATAATAGCCAGCGACCATTGGATTTAAATCATGGTCTTACTCATGAATTGAAGCAAAGTATAAATCATTTTCGAATGTTGCTTTATGTTTTGTGCATTTAAATGCACGTACTAGCTCTTCCACCTTTACAGGTTTTTCTTTGTTTAGAAAACAAGCAAAGAAAGATTCTTAAACAAATAAATGGAAATGAAGTAACAAGATGCTCTTAACTTAAAAAATAATATGACAATTTCAATATAGAAAATTAAATTAAAGGTGGCCGTAATTTTTTTAAAAAGTAGAAGTATAGAACTAATTAATACATACAAAATTATATGGAAGTTAAAGGAGGTCCCTTATAACCTAGGCAAACTTTTGTATTGTTAGCGATGTTAAAGTTTGAGCAATGATATAATCGCATAAGAAATTATTTAGTATATGAAAATATTTTTTGTTACAAGTATATGTTTAATCAAAGCCATATTTAGCATACATAGTTTATCACCATTAATCAAGGAATTCAATATATGCATATAGCAATGCTTTAAGAAGCAGAGAGATAAGATATGCTCTTTGTTTTGAATTGCTTTTACAATAAAATATACTACGGAGTACTATAGAATGATTTTTGGGAGACATAGCAGACTTTGTGACAAAATAGGGGGAGCATCGTTGTATTCTTCGTTTTGCCAAACATTACCAAATGGAAGATTTTTTATGTTTTTATTTTCTCTTTTTCTTCTTTCTGTTGGTAAAATGGTTTACAAGAACTAATATTTTGGTCATTTTGGAGCTTAAATATGTAAGGATCTACTTCTCATAATTAGTGAGACCAAGTCCTAACATATTATACTCCGTGAGGTAAACGTTTAGATATATTATTTGTAGAAAATCATTTTGAAATGAATGAAAAATTGTCCCCCAAAGTTCTCTCCAAACAAGGTGTGTGTAGGATTTGTCTCACACCGAAAATCCTAAGCAATTTTGAAGCCTTTTTATAAGCCAAGTAATGATATTGGGTTGGTCGGGTCCCAAAGAGCACCCATGTTTTGTAAGGAGGGAAGAAGACCTGCACGCGGTGAGCGTGAAATTAATAGTGTGAAAGAATGGTTTGCTCATAAGGGAGTCCTATCATCATATTTACAATAATAAATATTAAGAGTATTTACACATAAGTCCTTATAATACACTATTACCCTCTACGTTTTCTTTTTCTGTTTCTTAAGTCTGATTTGTGTTAAAATTCATATCCCTTTTTTGTATTCTTTGCTCTGTTGCACCCAGTTTGTTTGACTTCTGTTTGAAAGTATGTCTTCTTCATATTTAGGTTCAGATTGAGAACATAAAATATGTTGAGGTGAATAGGGGTTTCTTCCTCTCTTATTTCTATTTCTAATCTACCTATTTTTTGCATTTCAAATTTTCTCCTCATTTCAACCTATGTGATTCAAAAAAGAAAAATCATTCATCACGAATGAGTCTTTATCGTCACAATTGTAAGTAATTCGAAATAATCTCATAAATATAAATTCCATCCCGTGCAATGCACGGATGGGAATTCTGGTACATCATAATTTTGGAAACAATTATGATGTAACAATCATGATGGCCTTACATTTGTGTTTTCATGTAACTTTTTGTTTTTCCTATTCTTGAATAAAATTTTCTTTTTCCAAAAAGAAAACAAAAGGTTTTAAGGATGTTTTAATAAGACTTATTTCAGCCTCACACTAGATAATATCATATCACATTAGACTTAACAAATCAGATCAGATGAGGGTTTCCTCATCCTCCCCTCCCTTTCTCCTCCAAAAACATACGTCCAGAGCCTTCCCCTCCCTTTTTCCTCCAAAAACATACGTCCAAAGCCTTCCCCTCCCCTTCCCTCCAAGCTCCCAAACATACCCTAAAAAGTATTAAAGCTCTATCCCAAATTGGTAAAAAGGATGAGACTATCAGTTTATTTATTTAAAGAAAGTATTACGAAATACTTGCAGTGTATTTATTTGAGTAATGATGAATTCTTATGCATATATGGTTGATTCTTTGTATTCCAGTAATGCCAAGCTAAAAATGATACTCTAATATTAGGGCCACCAGATTAATTGTTCAGCTCATTCTTAGCCTTGTGCTATTATGCCACAATCGAGCTCTTTGAAAAATGAGCCCCAATTTTGATCCTAAATTCTTCAACTTTGTCACTGAAATCTGTCTAAGCCTCTCGGATCGTATATGCTCATTTCGGTCACACTCAAGCTCATCATTTGTTTCATCAGATTGCTCTTCCTGGACACTACTATTTGTAGTTTCTTCTTGTCTATCATCACCAGCAGTACAAGTTTTTAAAGCTCTAAAAGGCATGCGCAAATTATGTCTATGATAAGTTCGTATTACAACACAAATTTTATGCATGTTGGGATCGATTTTTGACGATTTTCCTAGCTTTTGGGTGTCGTAAGACTCAATTTTAGCTCAAGTCTTGTTTACTGGGCGTTGGTACGAGTTTTAGTATTTTTAGAGTTGAAATCAGGTTTTTGGAGCCCGGCATCAGCGCATGAGAAGTGATTAGGATGAGTTAAAGAAGCATTCGAGATTGAATTCAGAGTTTTGGAGGTCACCAGGAGGTTCACGATGATGTTTTCATGAAGAAAGAGCTATTGGATTGATCGCGGGGCTAAACGGAGACTCAAAGTGGAAGAAACCGAAGCAAACGGAGAAGAAAGGCCATGCACGGCCGTGCGTACAGGGACGCATGGCGTGTGTGCGTGGCAGTGGCGGCCAAGAATGTTAAAGACTGACGCACGGCCGTGCGTCCGGGTACGCACGCCGTGCGTCCAAAAGGAGTTTTCACGTGAGGCTACTGGCAGCAACGCACGGTCGTGCGTAGGGGAACGCACGCCGTGCGTTGCCTATGTTAACGCGCAGGTCTGTCGGACGCACGCACGCAACGCACGCCGTGCGTAGGCACCGTACGTACCCCAGATCTGTCCTATTTTGCCCGGAATTCGTTGTTTTCTATAAATAAGGCCTCCATAACCCCGTTTTCGGGTTCGGGAACTTAGAGAGAGGCTTAGGGACGAGTTTTACGTTATTTTTCCGCTACTTTGTTCAAGACCCTAAGATTCTTTGTAAGTTTCATCTTTTTAATTAATGACAATTATTTCTATTCATCCCAATTCTGTTGATTCTTCAATTATGAATTGTGAGTAGTTTAATTAGGGATTTGGGGTTGATGAAGGGGTTAATCAAGATGTATGGCTAGAATCTCGTTGGTTTAATTGCGTGAATGTCGTTTAATTTGTGTTTGAATAATTTAATTGATATCTTTTGTAACCTAGAACGCGCGCTAGAATTACAATTGCTTATAGAATAAATTAAAAGAGATCTAGTTTATTCTAGGACACATTCACACACACTTAATCGTTCGCTAAGAGATTAGTAGCGATTAAGGGGCCGTAAGCTCACTCGTCTTGGCAATAATTTAGGATCCTGTCGCATGAGAGATCAGTATGGTCCCCTAAATTATTGTACTCTACGCCGCGAGAGCGGTAAGAACTTAGTAACGATTAGCTAGACTCAATTAAATTAATTTCATGTAATTAGGCCTGTTCTGCCAGAAATCTGGTCATCCCGGAATCAATCCATGTTCCCTTCGTCGTTAATTAGAAAGAAACCAAGCTTTATTTTTATTCGCTCATTCGCATTAGTTTAATTTTAATTCGTCAACCAATCTCGCACAATTGCATTTAATTTTATTTTATTTCTTTTTAATCGCTGAATTTAGTTAATCTTTAATTCCCCTTTGTCCGTCCCTAGGGTGACGATACTTGTACTTTTCATCATTACATTACATCATTTTTAAGTGCGAGAAAACTCACATCAGTCTACAAATAGGACAAGTATAGCTAAGGCTCAGCCAAGGACCAATACATTTGTTGTGATATATATGCTTGCAAGGTAACTCACTTTCTTCCCTCCCAACGGCAAACTCTTCAAAACAAATACGATAGTACTACATTGTTTGAAGGTTGCCAAATGTGATTCGGATATTCTCACCTTTGGTATTAAACCCATTGATATGCCCTCAATTTCTCCCACATATATTGTTCGTAGAATGTCGTTGATATACTCTTGGTGTGCCTCAACCAGACCTTGAGGTGGCGGTGGATTCATAAACCAACCAGTACCTAAATGTGCAAGTGATTCGCTTTCTACATCCCTATAGATGACAATGTTCTTTTGAACTTGAATCATTGACTTGAGTTGATTGCCCTCGCCGCTAGCTTGATGGATGATTTATGTCTTCAGAGCAGGAGGATGAGGAAATAACATGAGGTCTATGACATCGCCAACACCAATAGTAGTGATCAAGGTTGATATTCATCGCGTCGGTAAATCTGATTGTTCTATGACTTGAATTTTGATGACATTGTATGATTTGAGAGGATGAAAAAATGACGTTTGAGTCTAACGTGAGTGGTCTACGGCATTCGTAACACCAATACCATTTGTTGCAGTGTGTGATATTTAGAACCATGGACTGAACTTGCCACGGCTCAACCCCTACAGGCCAATTGGTTAGGGGCGGAACACCACTTATACCATCCCGCCTTAAACAGATCACAACCCCCGCCTATTGAGGCATAAAAGATGATTTGTCTTCTTGATGACCAGTGGAGGAGCTAGGGGGGGCAAGAGGGGGCAAGCGTCCCCGCTCCGACCAATTTTTTTTACTAGTATTACTTATAATATGTTTCTTGCCCTAGCTTCTTTTTTTAAAAACAATAAGTACAACTTAAGATTATTTTAAGATTAAGTGTTAATTCTTCAATTGTTCCTAATCAGTCTATCTCCGGTGTTGGAAATGCCACTGCGTCAAATGAAAATATTGCTAGAGATGAGAGGAATGAGAGGGACAAGAGAGCCCAAACAGAAAGTACACATGAATGAGATATTATTAGTGATCCATTTTTACGAAAACCAATTAATGAATATGCGCAGGGGGTTAGGGATGAT